TGGGCGCGCTTCCTCCGCGCTCCGCTCTGCGACCGCGCTCCCCGCCCCCCCAGGCCGCCTTCAGTGTTCTCGGCGCCCCAGAACCTCTCCGGACGAGCCCAGTGATTCAGGTCCCGCTTCCTCCCCCTGCCCTCCAGGTACATCCATCAGCCCCACCCCGGGGAACGCCCAGGCCCCGAGACTCCCAGCTCCAGGCTCGGACGCCCCCACTTTAAAGCGCCTGGAGGAACCTGTGATCACCAGGTGGAAGAACCGAAAGCGGTTCATCGCTGAGTAAGAGGGTGATGTAACCCCCCACCCCCGCCCCGAGGCGGGCGAGGCGCCCGGAGGACGCTCCAACGAAGACCCCGGCACCCGAGGGCGCGCCTCCCGCCGAAGTCTGGGGTGGCTCACCTCGCGCTCACCGCCCGCCGCACCTTCCCGTCGCCTTCGCTCCCAGAGACGGCGGGGAGGGTGGGTGACGCGGGGGAGTTGACACAGCCTCTCCCAGCCGCCTCCGTCCGTCTTACACACATTGGTTGAGCGTTGTTTGGGTGCCAGGCCTGGAGCTGGGCTCAGGGGAGACGCTGGGCACAAACAGCCTGAAGTTACAGCTCCCCCTCCGCACAGTGGGTGCAGGACGGACGCCCCGCCTCGCCCCCGGCCAGCTTCGTGCAGTACGGTTCAGGCTTTTAGCGATTTGCATCAAGTACAGAGAGCCTGCGATAACCTAAATACGAATTTAAAATGTTAGGACGTTTAGAACTGGAATCCTTGTTTTTGCTTGTGCCTCATCATATTTAGCCAGGATGGTGGTTTTGGAAGTATTTTAAATTTAATTTTACCAGGTCATTTGAACAACGGTTCAGCGAATATGGAATGTTATAATTAAAACATAATTAAAAACTTGAGCCCGGCTGGTGTTGGCTCAGTGGTTGAGCCTCGGCCCATGGACCGGTGATCACAGTTTGATTCCTGGTCAGGGCACCTGCCTGGGTTTCAGGCTCCATCCCATTAGGGGCCTTGCAGGAGGCAGCCGATCAATAATTCTCTCATCATTGAGGTATCTGTCTCTCCCTCTCCCTTCCCCTCTCTGAAATCAATAAAGATATTAAAAATAGCAACTAGAAACTGAATTTCCTAATTTGGTAGAGTTTGTCAACTCTGGGAATGGGGTCAGTTGTCATCTGCATGCTCAACACGGACTGAACAAATATGCTCTTATCTTGAGCATAAAGAGTCTGAAGGTTTGCTTTCTGGAGACTGCTCATGGCTGAATGGAACATAGACTGTCTCCAAGACCTTGTGTGTGGTCTTGCAGTAGTAATGGCTTCATTTACACCAAATTGGTTTCTCATTTTAGTTGAAAATATCTGGATCATGCTAAAGGATTTAACTAGTTTTAAGCTTTTGCTTGGCCTAGGTTTTTAAAGAGCTTTTAATTGAAATATATTTACTATATTATATATATTTACTATATATTATATATTTATTACATATAATTATATATATCGATTTATGAAAGAGCACAAATAATGAAAATTCACCAGGTGATGAATTTTCACAAACTGTATATTGAATGTCGAGATCAAGAAACAGGACATTACCAGTCCCCAGAAGTCCCCTAGTCCCCCCTTCCAGTGACTGCCATCCCCCACCAAGATTAACCATAATCTTGACTTCTAACTTCCTAGAAGGTTTTGCCAATCTTTGTGCCATAGACGAATGGAATCCGACAATATGTACTATTTTGTGTCTGGTTTCTTTTGTTCAATGTTATGTTTTTGCGTTTCACCTGTATTGTGTGTCTTTGGCTTTTTTTTTTTTTAAAAACTTCCTACCTGTGAAATAAGCGCAATCCACCCATTTCCTAAGGCCCTGGGTTAAAAGGGGCTTAAAAAGTGTATTCTGGACTTCAAAATATCATACATATATAAACAAGCAATATCACCCTTTCTTCCTTTTCAAAAACAAGTGGAATCAACACTTTGAGTCAGTTATTCAATCTACACATATAAATCAAGCAATGAATTAGCTTATTTATTCGTTCAGCTATTGTGTTCCTGTGAAACAGACACCCGAATATTTTCTGAAAATATTCAGATTAACTAGCAGGCTTTTCAGATCATAACCCTGATGCTGAGGAATTCAGAAGAGGGGCGTCTGCTTCTTTCTGCCGGGTGTGCAGAGTGATGGGGAGTATGGCAAAAGGCTTCAGAAAGGAGGCGATTTTTGAGATGGAATTTGAAGCATTGGCTAAGAACCTGATAGTTGCCTGTGACAACCTGTTGTCTCTAGGAAACTGTTTTAAGGTCTTTTTTAGTTAGCAGATAGTTATTGTGCTTCAGTTAACAGGGGCGGAGGGGCAAGAGGAGCTATATCTCTAGATATGTTCAAAGTTTTGCATGTTTAATGTGCAAATATTAAAACAATAACCACTGTTAGATACCCATATACAGTATCCTTAAAAGGTAAGTTAGTCTTGTCCAATGTTATGTTATCACATGGGGTGTGCGTAGGTTGGGCTGGGCGAGAGATGTGGCCGTGTTCTGTATTTGCTGAGCAGAAAGGGGAAATAGACTAGTCGAGGGCCTTTGAAAGCCCTGGTTACCTGAACTTGTTAAACACAGCGACTTTCTTCCTCTAGCACCTTCCCGTTTCCACTAGACGAGCCCCCAGAACTTAAAAAATTGTGTACTAAAGAGAATGAAAAAGCTGCTGGGAGGAGAAAAGAGTTTTTTTCCTTGATTGATTTTTTTTTGACAAAGCAGTGTGTTATCCCATGTAAGTTTAAAATCAGGTATTCAGCTTAAAAACATGCTAAAAGTCTGACAACTAAGAAAGGGCAACGTTCGTGTTTGTGGAGAACTTGTGTTCAGTGCGGAGAAGCAGAATGTGCCTGTTAGAGCTGCACCCTCCCTCCCAGCTGGGTGGAAAACAAGCACTTTCCCTGCCCAGGCAAGTTCCCTAATTTCCTGCCTGTGCGGGTGGGGCGGGCGGGTCCTGATGTATCTACTGCCCTAGATGCAGAGGGTGAGGGAGCGCAGAGTAAGAAGGCCCTGCTGGGGGCCCGGGTGCTGGGTCACCACTGAGGATGAGAGGAGCGAGGATGGTCTCTCCCTCCCTCTCTTTCTCTCTCCTTCCCTCCTCCGCCTTCATCTCAATCAAAGGGTGCAAAGGATTATACCTGATATAGGATACACACTGATCATTAAGTCTTCTACCTCTGCTGATTATAGTTTCCTTCCTCGGAGAAAACTTCTCGGTTTCCTCTGGAGCCTTCCAGAGATAGTTTTTGCATATAGGCTAACCATTTTGATTTTTATGCAGGTGATAGTATTTGGTAGATCTGTAGTTTGCTTTTCTCACTTTAAAATATCTTGGTGACTGTAGTGGATATCAGTCCCATTCATGGCTGCCTACCATCCTTGGAAAGTCCTCTGTGGAAATCCATATGTTATTATACCAATTTATACATCAGAACTCAAATTCTTAGATCTCTTATAGCTAGGACACAGGCCTACCTCCTAGACTTTGCTGTTCAGACACACTCAGGCACGACTTTAATTTGGAAGTGAGTGAGATGTGGAGACAGGATGTACTTGGAATTTCTATCCATTAATCATAGGCAAGAATCACTGATGGATTTTAAAACGAGTGAGTAAATATGTGATGAGAAACAGGATATTTGTAGTCTCAAAGTAGCTCCCTGCAGAGTATTTGTCAATTATACAGGGAAAGATAGTAACATTAGGGTGGATAAAAATGCAGATATCACCTTAACCAAGTGATCAAAATGAACATCATCCGTAATAATGCATGTTGACCTCACACACCTCCTGATAACGATGCACTGAGAAGGCAATAGCATCACTTCCATGCTGTTCCTGCCCAAATTGTATACCCTCAATTTAATCACAAGAAAATGTCAAGGCCTGGCTGGGTAGCTCATTTGGTTAGAGTATCATCCCCATATGCCAAGGTTGCAGGTTCAACCCCTGGTCAGGGCACATACAAGAATCAACCAAGGAATGCATAAATAAGTAGAACAAGTTGATGTCTCTGTCTCTGTCTCTGTCTCTCTGTCTCTCCCTCTGTCTTTCTCTCTTTCTCTCCTTCTAACCCAGGTTAGTAGGAAGAAAGAGCATGTCACAGTGAGCTCTTCTAAACCCCAATGCAGGTTAGGGTACCCTGAGAAACACTGGAATAATTTCTCTGCTCAAAATTATAGATGCTCAAAAAAAACACCAGTGATTCAGTAAACACTGTTATTACAGTAGCAGGTATGATTTTGAAAAATCCAAAATGCTGAGAGTGAGAATGGTTATATTCCTTTATTTTTCTAAATCTAACTTAGTCTTGATTTTTGATAAACATGGTTGACTGTTAACTCATATTTATTTCTTCTCTCTGTGTCCCTGATAAAAATAGTAATATAAGAATAAGAG